GTTAGGGTAGATTATATTATTTTCCAATATGATTTACGAATAACAAAAACACGTTAGATATGCCATAATATGTCCTATATACCACGTTGAACCTTCAAAATTTAATTTACACTATCATTTGACCAGTTTGACTCGTCGCACCGTCATACTCGTCGCACCGTCAAACTAGTCAAACTTGTCGCACCCTCACAAATTTCGCGAATTTATTATTTTCGCACTCTGAACTTATTAATATGATCAGTTTGACTGTGTGAATCATAGTAATGTTGATTTATGTCTATATAATACGACGTATTACTCATATATGTTCTATTTTATTCATTTATATCATATGAATCAAATTTTAAAGATAAAAACGTAGTAAACCCTAAATACCCAAAATATATATTATTTTTTGGAAAGAAAATTTGTCTATTATCGAAATGTTTATTTAATAGATGAAAATTTTGGAGATTTAACTTATTTTTTATAATTAGTTAAACCCTACACGTGTTTCTATATTTCATCACATCTCACACTCTTTTTTACTTTTATAATATTAGTATTATATCATGTGATATATATTTTCAATCTATTTTTTAATTAAATATATCGATATATATACATCAATATATTTAATATATACTAGGTAATAACCCACGCGCATTGCGTGGACTTTTTTTTATACTAACTTAGTTTATCTAATCCGCCATGATCTATCATAAACTATTCGATTTTACAATGATGGAGTTGACTTACTTTCTTATATGTAATAGATCTATCATCATTTTATTAGTCATCCATGATAAGAGTTTGGATCTCAAATAAAACGATATTTACCAGACCCAAATTTTAAATAATTGGTGTATATTGCGTAATATAAAAATACATATAAATTTTAAATAATTTTAATCTTAAATTTAAAGTTTTAAATATAATTTTTTTGATTTTTGATTTTTTAAATCATATTGATAAATAAAAAAATGAATAATTTTAAACTCCTGGACAGATAATGAGTTAAATAAACTTCTGTATTTATATTTTTTTCGTGGGTATTATATAGAAACAAAAGTTGAAAAGTGAACATCGAAAGTATATTTGCAAAAAAATTTACAACTAATGAAAAATATCATTTTTAGACAATAATATAAATTTGGTTAGGGTTAGAAATCAAAAACCCAGTAATAATCATGTTACCCCTACCTAATAAAACTGACAATTCACATGATCTCATATCAAATTTCTTACCAGTTTCTACGCTTTTCGTCAAATTCATTTTAGATAAAAGAATGTAAATATTAAAATAACCACATTGAAACTACTTCATACACCATATTTGAAATATTTCTGACTTCTATTTTTCGAGATGGTGAATGAATGCATGTTAGATAAATTAAGAAAAAAAAATCAAATAAACTATTGACCAGTAACCTTGGCGGATTTGATGAAACGGTGGGCACATATATGTAGATGATTTCAGCAAGATCACGAACAAAAGACCCTACAACGCCACGTGTCAACCGCCCAAGTGTCGGACCGAATCCCTGACAAGTGTATGAACAAATGTGTACCCAATGCTACATTTATTTGAACCCATAAAAGCCGAGAATCATGCTTAATCGCAAATCCAAAGACGATCAGGTCACGGGCCAACAAAAACCTAATCAAATCGAAGTTGAGTATTTATCCACCATGGAAATCCACTCGGCAGCTCCTCCTCGGCATCAGGCTTAGTTATCCAACTTCCCTTTTATTATCCACCATTGACCCCCTGGAGCTTCTGGGCCTCCACCCATGTTTAGCACCCATGTTTAGCCCTTTTCCCCTACAAAACACACGTTACAGAGCTTGTCAGATCAGAGATTGGTTTCTTTCGGACGTAGGGGAAATCAGAGATTCTGACCTCTTTCGACGCACGGATTGCATTGTTTCTTCTTCTTGCAACAAATGAGACACAAACACAGACTCTCTCACCTTTGATTTTCTCCCAACAAGAGGGGAATGATTTGTCATGAAAAGGCATCTGAAATCATGCTTCAGAGTGGATCGAAGCTCCAGGGGCAGAAGTGTTCTTACACCAAAACACTTGGAACACCCAAGGATCATGGCTCTTGCCTGAATGACAAAAGGAAAAAAAAAAACAGATCCAAGCAGAAAACCCAATGAGGCAGACTGTAAATTTAGGGTTTGACTGAAAACTCTGAGATATCAGCCTCCAAGACCGAGAAGAAGCAAAATGGATGGGACAGAGCCAAACATATGGACAAGCTGACCGAACAGGTGGGTCTTCTCTGTTTCTGAGTTTTCAGTCAAACCCTAAATTTACAGTCTGCCTCATTGGGTTTTCTGCTTGGAGATCATTAGCTGTTTCGGTTTCCCTGACAAGCTCTGTAACGTGTGTTTTGTAGGGGAAAAGGGCTAAACATGGGTGCTAAACATGGGTGGAGGCCCAGAAGCTCCAGGGGGTCAATGGTGGATAATAAAAGGGAAGTTGGATAACTAAGCCTGATGCCGAGGAGGAGCTGCCGAGTGGATTTCCATGGTGGATAAATACTCAACTTCGATTTGATTAGGTTTTTGTTGGCCCGTGACCTGATCGTCTTTGGATTTGCGATTAAGCATGATTCTCGGCTTTTATGGGTTCAAATAAATGTAGCATTGGGTACACATTTGTTCATACACTTGTCTGGGATTGGATCCGACACTTGGGCGGTTGACACGTGGCGTTGTAGGGTCGCTTGTTCGTGATCTTGCTGAAATCATCTACATATATGTACCCGCCGTTTCATGATAGGATAATGGGACCACCGTTTCATCAAATCCGCCAAGGTTACTGGTCAATAGTTTATTTGATTTTTTTTTCTTAATTTATCTAACATGCATTCATTCACCATCTCGAAAAATAGAAGTCAGAATGATAACATGAGACATGAATCGAGTGATGATAAGCTCCTCACATTTATCCATCTCATTCATCGAACAAAGTTTCAATTCTATCACAAGGACTCAACTTTGTATGTAAAATCCAACTACTAAATCGGCAATTCGTGGACTAAATCTGAAATCGATCCGACAAAAATCATATAAATTGTTAAGATTTTAATAGGAGGTTGTGTGAAATGCCAGTTTGGTTGAGTAGTGATCATATAGTTGTCACTAGGTTTTTGTTTTGCATAATGAAAAAGTATAAGACGAGTTGTGATGATAAAAATACTTACAAACAAATTTAACGAAATACAAGTGGAACTAAATGAAAATGTCCAACTAAATGAATCGTAACTTAGATTTATTTAAATAAAAAAAGACTGATTTCATATGGTTATTAAACCAATATTATTGTGATAAAATATACATATCATACAAATATAACTTAATCTTAATTTTTATTTATTTGGAATAAAGTGACCAAAATTAAGTTTGTAAAAAAAATAATACAACGATTTACACTAAATGAGACCAATAAAAGAGTCAAATGATTAGTATATATGTATGGTAATACTTAACTATAAAAATATTCAGTATATTTCAAATATGGTGTATGAA